TAACTAAATTGTATGTGTATATATATATAATGTCTTGTACTGTATATAATTTAGAATTTAATTTAAGTTCTATATATTAAAATGTATTTAAAATATACATAAAAATGTTGACAACTTCACACACATTTTTTGCACTCAAACCTCCATCTATGTAAATGAGCTCTGTAATCATAAGGCACATTATTAGTAAGACTAAGATCAGTCTCAAAACGAACGCAATTTCTGATTCAGCTTTGCATGTCAGTTCATAATGACCTTGATCAAACATCACGATAAGCGCAGTGACGCAGGTCTGTGACTGGCTGTGTGTCAAACCCGTACAGATCCCGATCACTTATAGAATTACTATGATTCATTCAGGCCCAGCTACAGTCACACTCGCCGAGGCTCATGCCTCATGTTTAGTAGGTGACACTCAAAATGACATTTAGTCCTTTTTCAAACTGTTGTCTGTCTCAAGCATGTAACATTTGAAGCTCCAATTAGAATTTTTATTCCGTTGAAACAAACCACTTCCTGTCTGCTGCTAGTGTCACATGTACAGTGATGTTTGTTTACTACAATCACACTAGATTAGATATCAAATATCACTCAAACGCTGAAATTATGTTTTCACCTATTTTGTCAAATGGTTTGTTTGAATGGTGTGCTTGTGTTTTCTTGGTTTGATATTTTGTGATCTAATGCAGTAACATTCAGACATTTTGAAGTGTGACTTAAGTGTGTGTGTGTGTGTGTGTGTGTGTGTGTGTGTGTGTTTAACATCATGTAACATCAAGAAATGTACCATGAAAATGACTTCTGGTAAGAAGTTTGTGAGTGCAGCACTTCTCAGACAGCGTGCTGCTGCAATGAAACGACTGAAATGACTGTGAAGACTCGTTTGTGAGTCAGTCAGTAACTGTTGTTTGCTCGTGTGAAGGAAGTGATGTTTCCCTCTGAAACGTGACAGAGGTGGAGACGTGAAGTGTGTTTCTCAAACATGGAAAAATCAGGCCCACCTGGCACACTTCCCACATCAAAAACAGAAACTTTCAAAAAGCTCATATTCGTCAAAGGTTAGTTGCAGTGTTTATGATGCAAATGATCAACAGTGTGACACTTTGTTGCATTAAATTACAATTAACTACAGACACAACAATACATTTATGTCTTAATAAACATAAGCACTCATGTCCCATCTGCTTGCACTTTCACAAATTCTTTGTAAATATCACAGTAATAACTATACTACTTTAAAATCGCTGAATATCACTTATCTGATTTTTTTTCAGTTGGACCTGCCAAATTGAATGCCTTAAAAAAAGTTCATTCTGTTTAAAATTATATAATTATATATTTTATATATATCTATTATTATTATAGGGGATATACATCAGATTTTTGTTAAATTTCAACCTAAAAATTTGAAAATGGAGAAATTATACTTAAGGTATTACTCATTCCATGTCATTATTCTTAATTTTGGACACAATTAACAATTGCATGCAAAGAGGGGAAACTCTGAACTTCCCAGCATGCTTTGAAACGGTCTGTATAATGAGAGTAAATGTTTAGTTATTCAGATCTACTTAATCTTGTTCACTTACATTTACTAGTTCCTGAGGAGTATTTCAGTCATTTAGCAGCTTTAACCCTTGCTGTGCTGAAAATCCTTTACCTAATTTGATGTTCCCTGCCGTGTCAAGTCTCATAATGCTCTATTATCATCAAATCTTCAATTCAATCTTTTGTCAACCAGTGATAACTGAAAGAAAACAAGTTGATAAAACCATTGAATCCAATATTTGGTGGTAATGCAACATAAGTTTTTTTTTTGCAGGCTCGACATTTTTGACCAGGAATAAGCTACCACAACAAGGTAGGAATAAAATACCAAGAAAGTACAAAAATTATCTAGTGTTTGGGGGGAAGTTGTTATACGTCGGTAGCATGATATTTCAGTCAAATGTATCATATTTAAATATAATAGGTATTGTATCATCCTCCAAGTCCAGAAAATGTTTTTTTTTCCCTAATAAACAGTGCATCATGTCCGTTGAATAAACAGCTTGGATGAGTTACATGTATTAGTTTAGTGTGGGTTAGTGGGGTGTTTAGATCACTAACCATAATATGAATCCTAGTAAACCCCATTAAGGTATCTGAGCTCTGAGCTCCACATCTGATGATGAGACTCTTGTCTGTTTCTCAAGTCGGTGTCAGTTTGATATCTGCGCCCTCTCATGGTGTCGTCTCACAATTACACAGGCTTTCTGCTGGTTTTATAAAGTACATTTAAGACTTTAGAAGACCAAGTAAAGAACATTTAGGAATTAAATTGAAGGGAACAAAATATATAGCATTATGTTCTCTAAATGTGAATGTCTTAGAAGCACACTGCAAAGCGTTAAAATACAATCTCCAATAGTTTTTAAATATTTTACAATAACATAAGCTTAAAGGAACACTCCACTATTTTTGAAAATAGGCTCCTTTTCCAACTCTCCTAGAGTTAAACAGTTGAGTTTTACCGTTTTTGAATCCATTCAGCTGATCTCCGGGTCTGGCGGTGGCACTTTTAGCTTAGCTTAGCATAGATCATTAAATCTGATTAGACCGTTAGCCAGTGGTGGACGAAGTACACAAATCAAGTACTTGAGTAAAAGTACAGATCCGTATTACAAAATTTGGTCATTTTTGAGCGAGATGCTAACGGTCTAATCAGATTCAATGATCTATGCTAAGCTACAGCTAAAAGTGCTACCGCCAGACCCGGAGATCGGCTGAATGGATTCGAAAACGGTAAAACTCAACTGTTTAACTCCAGGGGAGTTGGAAAATGTGCCTATTTTCAAAAATAGTTCCTTTAAGGTTTGAATAGTTCTGCTTCCAAACACTAGAATATGGAAATATTCTACGTTTACTGTAACTTCTGATCACACTACAAAAAGAAGTGATGTTCTTCATCAGTTTTTGTCTTATTTTCCAGGGAAAATGTCTAAAGATGCACTTACTTGAAAAGCAATTTGACAAGTCTTGTTTAATGAGAAATTGATCAAAATTAAGTGTTTATGATTACAATGAGATCAAATATCTGCCAGTGGGGTCAGAAAAATCTTAGTTCAACTTACAGATATTTGTTTTTGTTTTATGCATAAGCTCACTTTTGTTCAGTCTCTCAGAAAACAAGCATTCATATCTTTGTTTTCTTTCACAAGTAATATATTTTGATTTAGGGATGTTTAGATATTTGTATCGGAATATTCATATATTCATCAGATATTCATTTTCGCAGTGCAAGCAACATTTAATTAGATTAAGACTTTCTGCTCTGATTTAATATGTTTTAAAAAGGCCTTAATTTGTGGAAGGGTGAAATAAGACTTTGTAAGACCTTTTCAACTGTAGAAACCCTACTGACCATATAAAAAAAACAGGCTGAGCAGAAACAAAATGCCGTTTATAAAACTTTTATTCATGTTTAAATCATTTACATGGAATAATCAAATCAATCATTTAATCATAATCAAACCATTATAGATCCAAATACCCAAAAAGTGTAAATAAAAAAAGAAAATCATAAGACATTAAATGAAATAGACACTAACAGAACCGCAGTCACTAAACAGCTGGTTATGTGTGTCGCTTTACAAACATGTGATCCATAAAGTGATGTTTTCATGTTTTAACAGCCGTGTCTCTGGATCTGTAGATGACGCCTCTGCTCTTCAGCTCTCGCACCACACCTGAGACACAAAACACAAAATCAACATCCTTCACTTACAGTCATGAGAGAGCCATTCTGCCGAACGAGACCAAAATCTGACACTAACCTGGAGGTAACCGACCCGTTACCGTTACTGCATAGACACCTGGCTTGAAGTTACCTGAGAAAGACATCCACACTGTTACTGAGCCTTCCGTCAAGCTTAACTGAACTTGAATTTGTTTCATAATTGATGTAACATTAACACTTATTTTCCAGTTTATTAACGTGAAGCGGCTTTGAAACTATCTGTAATGTGTAAAGATGCTATATAAATAAATGTAAAGACAGAACTGCTTGAGCACCTGACTGCTTCTGAACACCTGACAGATAAAGTGCACTCAAATACTCACCGATTCTTTGCCATTTTGCCACCCAACTGTCCTCTGAGCTCATCATAGCAATAACTCTATAATGAAGACACATCACACATTAGAGCTCAAATGAAATCCAACATATATGCGTGTGTATAGTTGACTCAAAATGAATATTCTATGAGTTCTGACACACCTAACTTTGCAAACCAGTGTAATTCTCTTTCCTAAGCTGTATGGATTACTGTAATGGTGCTTTACTGTAAAGCACTGTAATGGTGATTACTGTAAAGCTGTTCTTCTAAGTGTGAAGAACAGCTCTGCCAAGCATCTCTGTTTTTGGTCTTTGGAAGAAAGCAAGCAAGCCATACTTGTTTAGACCAACACGAGGGAGAGTAAATTATGATCTGGTTTACTTTGGAGTGAATTCTCTTTTTAACTAAGAAATACCATTACATACCCATCAAAAGAAGAGCTTGTGCATTCATAAACCATCTCTCGATTGCCCTTCATCTGCAGGTATGATTCACAGTTGTCGCATCCGTCATACTCAAACTGATCAATGGTCTGAAACCAGAGAAGATGAAAGATCATATCAGTCAAATAGATTTCCAAGTATATTCCCATACAAATATTTGCCACAGTAAACAAACTATGTTTTAGAGTTTTATAAGGTTGTTACTGTTAAGCCTACGACTGCATCTAAAAATATGATGTGCACTGTATATCTGTAAGAAGTAGAATGATGTTTTCACATGGATGTGTGTGTACGTATGTACTCACACACACACACACACACACTCTCACACACACACACTCTCTCTCTCACACACACACACACTCTCTCTCACGCACACACACACACTCTCTCTCTCACGCACACACACACACTCTCTCTCTCACGCACACACACACACTCTCTCTCTCACGCACACACACACACTCTCTCTCTCACGCACACACACACACTCTCTCTCTCACGCACACACACACACTCTCTCTCTCACGCACACACACACACTCTCTCTCTCACGCACACACACACACTCTCTCTCTCACGCACACACACACACTCTCTCTCTCACGCACACACACACACTCTCTCTCTCACGCACACACACACACTCTCTCTCTCACGCACACACACACACTCTCTCTCTCACGCACACACACACACTCTCTCTCTCACGCACACACACACACTCTCTCTCTCACGCACACACACACACTCTCTCTCTCACGCACACACACACACTCTCTCTCTCACGCACACACACACACTCTCTCTCTCACGCACACACACACACTCTCTCTCTCACGCACACACACACACTCTCTCTCTCACGCACACACACACACTCTCTCACGCACACACACACTCTCTCTCACGCACACACACACACACTCTCTCTCTCTCTCTCTCTCACACACACACACACACACACACACACACACACACACAGGTGCTGAATCAGTTATATTCATAACATGGTATTTCTATGTCCAAAAACATTATCGTGATACGATAGAGAAAGCCTGTCTATAGAGTTGTATGCCAACGTAATATTGTGCTATATTCATCTGCTCTGAGTATCTAAATATGTAAATATATTAATGATGAAAGCATATGTTTTGATTCATGTCTTGTTTACCTTGACAAGAGAGCACAGCAGACACGCTCTCAAATGACGCAGATCTTTCGGGACAATCTCCAGAGACATTCCGGTTGCTTTGCTAAAATATACTTGGAAAATAAACACCAAAGAAACCGACAATAGATGCCTCGAAACAACGACTGTTTCGACGAGTTGTTAGCGTTCGCTAGCCAGAACCGCACATTCGGCGACGTTTAATGACGTCACTTATACGCGCCGCTCGACCGTGATATGAAATATTAGTTTACCATCAATGAAACATTACCTACTACATTCCAATAAGAACGTAAAAAGAGTTTCGTGGAATGGAAATGATCGAATTAATAGAAACACAAAGCCTATTCATTCCATAATGTTTTTTCCTAAATATATACCGTGACAGTTCAAAATATTTTTCAAACAAAATGTATTCTAAAGCAATTTTAGAGGGTGAATGTAAACGAACTGTGCAAAATAATAGTTTCATAATGGAATGGGAATGCTCTACTGAATAAAACCCAAAGCCTATTAATTCGATAATGTTTTTTTTAAATATTCCATAACGTTTCAAAATATTTTTAAACAAAATTAGCTATTTTAAAAGGTGACTGTAAACAAACTGTACTGATCACAACAGCCACCAGAGGCCGCTGTTAACTCACGTGACCCGAGAGGTCACGTGAGCCTCATTCTGATGCGGTTTGAATGCGATTTATATGTAAACGCGCATAACGGTTCCAGTAACGGCTGCGGTAGAAGACGGTAAACCTTGACATTAATTAATCGATTTAATTAACAAAGATTCGCAGATTTGGATGATATACATGTATTGTGTTCTATTATGATCACACCTTTTATATTTATTGACTATTTCTAATGATCTGTTCAATCTAAGATGTATCAATTATGAGCTAATGACTTGTTTACAAAAGTGTTGAAGTTGTTTTTGAATGTTTATATTGACTTTTAGTGATGTTTATGTCATTTCCATCATCTGCAGGTCATTAATTGATTATTTGAGTTGACCACGATGGATGCGGAGTTTGATAAGTCTCTTCTCAGAGTCCACATAAACTACAATAACTTCCCGGCTAAGTTATGGCGTCTGATAAACAATCCCCAAAACGACTCGGTCTTCTGGAGCCCAAATGGAGAGAGTGTGATCGTCGACCAGCAGCGGTTTGAGGACGAGCTGCTGTCGCCGGTCAAACAAGACGCTAAACTGTTCAAGACCACCAACTTCACCAGCTTCATCCGGCAGCTCAACCTCTACGGCTTCCGGAAGGTTTATGACAGGTCCTTCAAGGACAGACGCCGCAACCTGCACCACTTCCACAATCCCTTCTTCAAACAGGGTCGGCCAGAGCTTCTGGTCCACATGAAGAGGCTCACAATCAGTAACAAGGCCAAGATGCAGGCCGGAGAGGAGGTGTCCTGTCGTCCCCCGCGCCGCAACCATCAGCAGTCTCAACACAACACTACAGATGCAAAGAGAGGCCAGTTTAACTTTCATATGCTAGACTGAACGTAGTGCATATAGCAGCTGTCCTCAAAAAGACATGTGATTTGAGGATTTGAGTCACTCTAAAGCCTGACGTGAAATAATAGTCAGAAAACCTTCTTTAGACAAAAGTTTTATGTTGAGTATCATATTCGACCAGTGTTGGGAAGTAACTAGTTACATGTAACGGAATTACGTAATTTAATTACTAAATAAATGTAATTGTAATCTGTTACAGTTACTGAGAAAAAATGTGTAATTAAATTAGTTACTTATGGAAATGGTAACTATTGCAAAGGGGGATACATCTGAATTCACACACACACACACACACTCTCTCTCACACACACACACACTCACACACACACTCTCACACAGACACACACACTCACACACACACTCTCACACAGACACACACACTCACACACACACACACAGATTTAATTTCTTTCTTTCTTTCTTTATTTGATCTCAAAAACAGTATCAGAGCTATTAAACGGTTTCTTGTAAATCTGTATTTAACCTCAGAACGATCTCAAAGTAAAAAGAGGTGCTAAAGTCTGATTTTGTGGTGGCTGAGCTTTCAATTCAATTATTATAATGTTAATTTAAGTGATGAAGGATTGTGAAAGTCTGACAGTAATCAGTGTAGAGTCCTGCTCTAAGGTTAAATCATGCTTAAATAATTCCAAATACATGAGAAATTTAGAAAAGTAATCAGTTACATTGCTTTAATAAAGTAATTGAAATAGTTACACTACTTATTACATTTTAAATAGGGTAACTTGAAATCTGTAAACTATTACATTTCCAAAGTAACCTTCCCAACACTGTATTTGACACATCAGGCTTTTATGGCTAAAAACTGAGCAAAAATATGCAATTTAATGCTGATTTATGATATATGGCTAAAATGTCAGATGAAATTCTGATGCTTTTAATGTAAATCAATGAGGTTTTTATAACAGTACAGCAGATGCTTATGTGAAATAATACAAATATCAGTCGTCACTCTAATAATATGTCTTAGGAAGATGAGATTTAAATGATCCAAACATATAATGCAATGCAATCCAACGATGATTGAGAGATGATTGAAAGAAATAAACGTTCCTCAAAAGCATGATGATCATATTTGATACTCGCTGATTTTTTTCTAAAAAAATTATGTATGAATAATCAAGTAAAGTGTTCATCTGGAAATATTACCAACCATATCAAAGTTATTATGTTTACTTTATAAATTTCACAGCAAAAAGACATGTGCGTGAGGCTTTATAGGGAAATCTGTCCAAAATTTAAAAATATGAATTTGTCAATACAACCAATGAGATAAGTATTATATATCTATTTAAATGTCAGTCTTTAGTGAAAATGGTTTAGTAACTAGTTCATAATTCAAAAGTATTTAATTGGGTCTGAAGACAATTATTATAGTGAAAACTTAAGTTTTATTATTAATAGTTCTTTTTATCTGAGGTTGGGTTTTTTCCCCATGAAACACAAAAAGAGCTATTAAGTCAATTCCACATTTTTTATTTTATTTTTTTTACATCAAGTTCAGCAATTTTGCTTGGTTCATTATAAAAATGTATTTTATATCAGGATTTGACCCTGGCCCTCATGCACACTTAACATAAAATGACACCTCTAGACTGTCTTAGGAAGAAGTGCCAGAACCGTCACCTCAAAAAACTGGCTTTTTTTGTAGCTTTTTAAATCTTTTAATGATCTATAAACTTCTCTTTATACTTGCTTCTCAGGTTTTGCAGACACAAATCAGCACTTTGGTTCTGTGTCGCATCAGCAGATGGGGTCTGACCGAAGCCCGATCCCTCCGCACTCCTGGATCTTTCCTTACAGTGATGTGCCTCCCTTCTACTCTAACAAAGGTATCCCGGTTTCTGTCATCCGCCTCAATCCGTACAACACTCCTCACAGGATCCAGTCCGGTCCTGGTGCTCTGTTTCCACAGGAGCCTAAATATATACCTCATCAGCTGTCCTATCCTCCTGGATTTTACTCGCCAGGTACTGACTTACTTTGTCCTACAGTGCATTAGATAAATCCATTAAATAAAGCCATTGTTAAAAATGTTGCAAACAGTGTTTTTAGTGTATTTCAGTATTTTCCACAGGAAAAGGCCTCATTTTGAGAAGAGATCTCCACAGTGTGCTCAGATTTGAGATTTAATTTCAGGAGAAACTTCTGAGACAAAACTGTTACTGTTGCGTTTCTATTTGCTTATGAACGTTTTGTTCAACATGTGTTTATTTGTATTGCTCTCAGTAGTTTGTCAGTGTTGCACTGCTGGTTTTATTGAAGCAGATCGAGCAGGTGCAGATCAAACAGCTCTACCATATTCACATTATGCGTATTACCCGGTGAGAAACATTACACAGTTCATATGTTGCATATCTTTCTGAATTAATCTCACAAACCTGAACACATGTATGTATGTATGTATGTATGTGTATGTGTGTGTGTGTGTGATACAAAAGAGGAACAAAGCAAATCATCAAGGAGCTTAATATATATATATATATATATATATATATATATATATATATTCAAAAGGTGAATATATATATATATACAGTATATATATATATATAAGGTCAATATATATAAATTCAAAAGACCAAATAAAAAATATTTTTATTCTGTTGTCTTATTGCTTTGTAATATTTAGATATTTTATAATAGAACAACACTTTAAAGATTTTTATTCTCATGACGCTAGCAGAACTATTCACTGAGCCACCATCACAACAGCATCCAAACAGCAAACTGGCCCGCACACGTTACACCTGAGTCTCAGCGGGGCGACGTGAACCTCGACAGGGTGTTCCAGATGGTGGATGAGTTCCAGGGCTTGCCCAACGTCCACGTAGTCCGAGTGAGCACCCCTGTGAACGGCCAGCACACCTCCAGCCCATCTCTCTGCACTCTACCTGCTGCCTCTAAACCTGACCCCAACAGTCCTCAGAGCTCCAGGATAGACACTGCAGCATCCAGTCCTGTGAGAGACGAGCGTCCCTCTGCCATGGCCTGTGGTGTGGGAGCTCAGTACATCAAACTGGAATCTGAGGGACATGATGCTGAGAAGCAAGGAGCCAGCCAGCTCAAAGAAGATGATTCAGCATCCCTGGAGGCCTCAGAAAAGGTCAAAAGACGCTGTTATTGTCTTAGTTGGTCTTTAAGTGTGTGTTGTTTTACAGTACCAAAAAATACAGTATCACAAACTATAAAGACTACTTAAATTAAAACGGAGCCTTCAATACTCTGTAATCAGGCTGCTACAGATCAGAAAGTGACTCAGGAAAGCATCAGAAAGTGACAGCAGAGCAAGACTCACTACAGCTATTCTAGGTAGGACAGTTTCAGATTATATCACACCCTTGAATTATGTTTTTGCACAATAATTTATTTATTTTTTGTAACTTTTTATGACTTTATGGTTGTTATGATCCACAGATGACAGGCAGGATTCATCAGCATATGCAAATGACAAGCATCACAAAGCTATTACTTATTTAATTATTAACTTAAGTATTGTTATTAGTTATATATGTTATTTACAGTATTTAAAAAATTGTATGAACTATTTAAGAAACTTTTGAAGAAGTGTTAAGTTAACATTGCTTGCTGTTTTTTTTTAAGTTGTTTTCTCACAAAGTTTCTGCCTTTAATTTTAATGGCATTTATGCTAAATACACACGCTTTAAATATCTACAGTGAATGTGATATTATTTATCTTATATATATTCTTATATTATTTATCTAATATCCTATATATTTCAGTATTCATAAGCATCAGTATATAATTTTTTTTGAATGTAGCACAAGAGTGAAAGTCAGATTTGAATGAACTGATTTGTTTTCAGCTTTTCTGAATTTGAATAAATGCAAAGCAAGTGAAATCCCTGATAAAGACTGAACGTGCTGTTTGTTTTATGTTATTTTGACTGCTCAGATTTATTTATTATATTATAAACCAGATCAAGTCATGAAAAAATGTCCAGTATAAATCCTCATTTCCCTAAGGACTTTATTTTAAAATTACCTATTTATAATTTGAATAAAAGTTAAGTATACCATTAAGTTAGGAGACAATATAATTAGATTGTGCAGTTAAAGTATGTTACTCTAATATTTAGTTTAATTAACTTTTTTTTGTCCAACAAATTGTAGTCACTCAATTTGACTACAAATAGGCCAACTGTAAATAAATCTTCCATTTAATTCTTTCTGTTTGCCTTAAATCAACATCCCTAAAAAGACAAATCCAAAATATTTTTATTTTTATTTTTATTAAAATTTGCAGAAAATGTATTCACCTTCACTGGATGAAGCATTATTATGGATTATGGACTCGATTTTATTTGGAAGCAATGGTCTGAAGTTAAAAATGTCTCAATGATAGATTTGATTTTGGCTTCTCAAGATGTTAACTGTTGGACTGGAGTGGTGTGGGTTATTGGTATGTTTTTATCAGCTGTTTGGACTCTCATTCTGACGGCACCCATTCACTGCAGAGCATCCATTGCTGAGACACCGATGGAATGCTAAATTTCTCCAAGTCTGTTCCCATTAACATCTGTTCCCGTTATTATGAAGCTTACAGTTGTTATACTGATGATTATATTCACGTTTAAAATTCAGTTTTGGCATCCAGCATCGTTCTGTAATTCTGTAATTTTTCTCCAGTGATGTCAGCTAGAGGGCGCAGTGTGAGTGTCTGAGTGTGTGTGCACGCGTTTAATGGGTCGGATCAGTTCTGCTCCCCCCTCGCTGACAGTCAGCAGGTACACACACACACACACACACACGCTCGCACTCGAGTTCACTCTCAACTTTAAACTTTTCCAGTGTTCCTGCTGTTCGCATCAACAACACTGAGGCTTCGGGACAGCGCGTGCGGATTCTACACTTATAGTGTCTAGATTTCTCGACATGGATCTGTGGAAATTTAATCTGAGTCCAACAGGTCTGTGAAGTTTTAATTCATTTAGGAACATGGAAACGAGTGTTTAGAAAAGGCTCTCTCCTGACAGTGTTTTCAATCGCTCCCGCAAAGCTCTTGTTTTATCTGGATAATATTTCCCCCCCCTTCGGACCTCATGGGAAACGTTTCCAGGCGTTCACGGTGGGATTGTGATGCGTGTTTGATCAGAGTGGAATAACTGAGACTGTTGCATTGCTGGATGCGGTGATTCTGCTACAACCTGCTACATTCTGGAATGTTTGGAATCCTTTGAAGTGGACGCGGCGCACCGCACACTAATGGAGCCATCATGACGTCATGTTCTCAATCACGGCGCGCGGGAATCCACGGGGGAATCTGTTATATTATTGATCCGACCTTTAGGAGATCATATTAAACTCTTTTCGTCGTTCAAATCAATGCTCGCGCCAGGAGTCTGTCAGCTGTCAATCACCCTGTCACTCTGTCTACCATGTTCTGTCAGTGATACGGGCCAGTCCCCCATTAAAGTTCCATTGAATTGCTTGTAATAGTCTTTCATTTCAAATCTCAACCCTGCAGAGCTTATAAAACTATCCACTCTAAAAGCCACTGGGTTTTTGGACAGTTCCAGTGACTTCTAAGGATTCTCCTGTCTTTTATCTGAGCTCTGATTGGACGGATAGCGCATAATGTATGGCCGGGGCCCGCCGCTGCAGCCAGGACAATGAGGGTTCCTGTGCGGCAATTGGCCGGGCTCTGGCCGTGGCTGCTCATGGCTGCCTCGCAGGTGGCGTTGGGCCACACGGGCCTGGAACTAGCCGCTGCTGTGGAGTCCGAACGCTCCGCACCCCGAGCCATGATCAAGGTGTCGCTGCTGAAGCAGGAGCCCACCAGCAGGCCCATCACCCTAGAAGGGGTGTTCGCTGGGGGAAGCGCAGGCTATGCTGAAGGGAAACTGATGCAGGTAAGAGCTGGAAGGTGTTTTCAGGGTTTTTCAGTCATGCATTGGACTGATGTTCTTTGTTGGCATCTTCATGGAATTTTCCATTCCACAAAAGGTCCTTTGTAGTGGAAAAAAGTTCTTTAGATTATTAAAATGTTCTTTATGCTGTGAAAACTGAAAGATTCTTGGAATGGAGGTTATATTGCATTGCTGCGAAAACCCCTTTTTAGAGTCTAGGTAACGACGTGGGATCTGAAGAGAATACAGCTGTGCATCTCATGCATCTTCGCTCTTGGAGGCTTTAACTGGGAGACATTGGCATCAAAATGTGTTTAGACTCTTAAGCAACACTTAAAACTGTCTGAATGTCAATGCATTAGATGTTAGATCAAAGCAAGTGTTCATTGTAAAGAAACCGCACAAGCGCAATCACATTCTGTTTATTTTGGGCTATTATTTTTATTTTTATTTTGATGCCACTGTAGAGTTTTGTCATGCAGTATCAGAAAACAATTCTTTGCATGATGATACTCTTTGCTTTTGGAGGCTTTAACTGGCAGACAAATGCTCTAAAATTATTTGGACAGTTAAGCAACACTTAAAACTGTGAATGTCAATGCATTCGATATTTTATCAAAGCAAGTGTCATTTATTGTAAAGAAACTCCATATGCATTCTATTCTAACAAAACATTTAGCAAATTAAAAATGCAGTAACCTTCTGTTTATTTTGGAATATAATTTTAAATTTTTGGGCCACGATACATGTCATATAGTACCGGAAACACCAACAATTCTTTGCATGATCATCTTCGGTCTTGGAAGGTTTTACTGGCGGACAGTCACTTAAAAATGTCTTGCATTAGATGTTAGATCAAAGCAAGTGTCATTTATTGTCACTCTTCTTACAAAACATTTGGCAGAATAAATGTAATCACATTCTGTTTATTTCAGGCTATTATTCTTAGTAACTTTGTGGCCACTGTAGATGTTTTGCCACATACTGTAGTACCAGAAACAGCAACAGCTCTTTGCATGATCAATATACACACAAGTCTTTGCTGATGGCGTAGAAATCTACAGCAGTAACTCTGCGTCTCATCCGAGATCTGTTGTCGTCTCGCATGCAGAATCGCTCACCTGGAAAGCCATCAAATGCATCTGTGATAGAGCCAAGAGCTGCTCGGGTCTTATTGGAGCTGATAGATTCGTGGTGTTGTAAAGCGTTAGGTCTGTTCTCTGAGGCCATACTGCCAGATGTTCGGGCTTTGAAGGCTGCGAGTTCTGCAATTCTCTGCGAGAGCCGTCCCGATCAAGCCAGAGGGGATGCACTCACTGTAAATGGATCTTGAAAGCCTTTATCCCTGTGGGAAAGAACTATTGCATCATAAAAATAAACTAAAACCGATTTCTTGTTAGTGTGATGTGTGTTTGTGATCATCTCGATGAGGCTGCATTTGAATTTGACAGCAGTTCGCATTACAAGATGATTGCTTCATTAGACACGGATGCAGAAAGGTGTTTCTGGAGTTGTATTTGATTGGCAAAACACATTTTGCCTCTCCGTTCTGTTGCAAGTTGCAACTAGATTTTTGCTTTATCTGAAGAAAGTGTGCTTGCCTGTGCAAAACGTGCTGTGGTGTGAGTGGTTGCTAGGTGGTTTCTTACCATTTCAAGCGAAGAAAGTCCACCCTCAAGTCTGTGATATTCTGGTCTCTAAGTCTGAGAGTTTATCTAGGTTGTTTTATCAAAATCACAAAGGTTTTGAGGTGTTATTCATGCCGCCGGTAGCTAGTATCTACATGCAGAATGAAAATTGTAATTGCAAACCCATGCAAAAGAACATTGTGAGTTTGTAACTCAAAGGTTGAAGGTTTCAAGCCCTGTAAAGGGTGTTTTGTGAACTGTAGAGTCACTGAAGTTGTTCTTGAGCGAGTGCTTTGCGTTGGTTAAGAAACATCCGCTTCTATGAGTATAGCTGATTATCAGAAAGAGAATGCATGCATGTGTCTGATTTACAGAAGGGTATCAGTCTCTTGCTTACAGAGAGCGTGTCACACAGACAGATGCTTTTTGTTGCAGCGCCAACCTGTTGCAACAGGCCTGGCTTGCTTTGACGCATTGTCCTCCTGCATAATGTTCCCTTCCTCTAGGGGACAAAGTGATAGAAGCAGGTGGGGGTAGGGGGAAGTTTCTATCCTTTCTTCCCTCACTTTTTCCTTTGGCCAGACCACATGAATTCAACATTACGGCTTTTATCTGCTGCTGGGAAGAAGGATATCGAGTGATCTGCTGTATGTTGTGCATCAAATTATAGAGTGCACTAGAGCTGGGTGAAAAAGCTTCAATTATTTCTCTATATTTGGCCTTTTTAACAATATTTGATATATAAATCTGGATATTTATATATGTTTGCTTTGAAATTGTGTCCACGGTTGCCATTTAAATCCAAAATGTTTAATATAAGAAGTAAAATACAATAAAAATCTAGTTAAAATAATCATGTTTTGCACCAAGTAAACCAAAGAAAGAATATTTACAATATGCTTTGCTCATATATTTTTTTTATTTTGTCCATTGTTGCTTTTTAAATTCAAAATGTTTAATATGACAAGAAAAATGCGTAAAGAATGCATCTTTTTTCTTTCTCTTTTTTATGTTTTAATAAATATCTTTCAGATCTGGATTTTTTTCCCCATTGTTGCTATTTAAACTCAAAATATTTAAAATAGCCTAAGTAAAAGACAATAAAAATCATGTCAATCAAGACATGTTTTCCACGATGTTTTGCACACATGGAAGAATATTTACAATATTTTGTCTAGATGTTTATTTTTTCTAAATTGATATACTTTTTTCTATTTATCTTTAAGTAACTGAAATGTATATGTATTTGCTTAAAAAAAAAAAAAAGGCATGTTTTCCACAGCGATTTTCACCAAATGAACAGAAGGAAGAATATTCAAAATATTTTTTTTTCTAGTTTTTCTTTTTCTAAAGCTCTGTATTTTTTCTGTCTTTTAATCAATAGAAAATTCTTCCTGTAGTGGTGATCAGTGTTGGGGGTAATATATTACAAGTAACGCAAGTTACGTAATCAGATTACTTTTTTCAAGTAACTAGTAAAGTAACGCATTACTTTTTAATTTACAAGAGAATATATC